TAAATTGTTACTGGCCTTGAACTAGAATGAAAACTTCACCCAACAGTGTGTTCAGACCAAATGTGAAGTAAAGATAAATATAAACATTGTGGAAGCTACATATTTGTGTCAAACAAAGGCAAAGACATTAGCTACAAAATTTATAAACTCTGGCACCAACTTTGCTTTATGCTCCATCACCAAAGTATCAGCTGTTGTTTCTCCTGATTACACTAATTAGCAGAAATGGGGGATAAGCTTAAAGTCACAACACAATTTGAGTCAGAGTGAGAGAGTGAGAGAGAGAGAGTGAGAGAGTGAGAGAGAGAGAGAGAGAGAGAGAGCGCGAGAGAGAGAGAGAGAGAGAGAGAACAGGACTTGAAGTAAAGTAAGAGAAGTGACTCTACTTCCTGGTGAGGTCTGAAATATGTTTCTGTCAACTGCATCTAGCTGACAGTTAAAAGTTGGACACTTTATTCGTGTGAGTAAAGTCAGGAAAACATCTGTTTGGTCTGAACAAACAATAGGTGGCAGCTCTAGAACATAACTGACACATCAACTGTTGTCCCACTAAAGTTTGATTGATAGATTTTCTCATTTTTCATTCATTTTCATTTCATCTGTAAAAAATAATTGAAATTAAAAATAAATTATTTATTTAAACAAATTAATAACCTAACTGGTAAAATTACTAAAAACAAATTAACAAAAAGGTCATATCTTTGATGTCTGTATCAACAAAATATCGAATTAAATATTATTTAACTTTCTGAGAATCTCAAAATACTCTACCGCTGTTAATCTACCACAGTGAAAAGAATATGCCATTAAGTCATTTTTGCATCTAATTTCTTTGGTTTGCATGATTTGCAGTCACTTCTTGATGTGCAGCTACTGATTTGAGTTAATTCCACACAACCAACAGAGCAGCAAACACACAAAACCAAAAACTCACACTGTTGAGAACCAAGACTACATATTTTTAGGATTCATAAAGTTCACAACAGTAAGATTACACAGATCAGTGCTTAGTGTTCTCACCCTGGTCATTTCAGACTGTGCACAGAAGAATGGTTTGCACAGGGGAATTAAACAAATTAAGTGAAGTGGAGCAGGAACAGGGCAGTGTGATAAGGTTTAACAAGATACAAGTTTCTCCACACGCTTCATTTCAAATTGTGCCCACCCAGCCTTGACCTAGTTGACTCACCCAGGAGATACGATAGCTTACCTTACCCAGAATTTTCCGACCATTCATGGCTGCGATTGTGGCAGTGGCATGTCTATGCTCATAAAACTCCACAAAGCAGTACGGATCGTGACCTGCTGTCTGGGTTGGAGAGGAAACACATAAGTTATGTTACTGTGAGCAATATGAAAGCTTGAATAATTATGGTGACGTCATTGTTAAGCATTAAATTGGGAGGATGCAACACCAATGCAAAATGGAGAAAAAAAAAGGATGAACATTACAAGAGTCAAGCAAGTAGCTAAACCAGATTGCAAGGGCTGAAAAGAAAATGAGAAGAAAAAGAGTTACGGAAAAATAAATAAATAAATAAATAAAAACAAACTCACATCTACTATCATTTTGCAGCTTTTGCAGGGTCCGATTTGGCCAAACAACTCCAAGATGAGTGCCTCGGTCACATCCCGGGACAGATTTCCCACATACCTAGATGCACAAAAACAAACAACAGACGGGAGACAGTCAGTGCTGGCTAGTTTTTCAAAGTAGCCATCGATGGCTGGTGCAGATGCTCTAACAGGGCAACAGGGTTTCCCTTCTCTAAAAGTTTACCATTGTTAAAAAATTAGCCCAGAGAAACATCTTTCCTAATCCATTTTTAACCTAACTCCAGAAAATGTTTGAAGCATCACGTCAGGACACTGTAAGAAGTTGTTGTTTCCCATTTTTAGCACATTCATATCAGCCTCACCCTCATTACTGGAAATACTTTGTTTCGTTTTAAATAAGGGAGGTTTCTGGGTAGACTGTGCAGGAGGCCAGACGCATCATAACAACTTATAGATGTGAATTCGCTGGACCATTACATGTCTAATTCCTAGACCAGAACAACTCAGCAAATCACAACCACATACCACGCATTCATCCAATCCAACTGTATAGGACATATGCATTATCGTATACCCCTCCTTTGGGTACGGTCTAGAAAATTACAGGTGGAGGTGATTGCTTTCTTGTAATTTCTTGGAAAAGATAAAAATAACAAGGCGGTACATGTTTCCATAAGATGGCAAAGCAGCTGACATGATCATGTTTCGATAAAATACAATCACTGATTACATTCTGTGTTGGGATAAATATTCAGTTAAAATATTGCCACAAGCTAAAATGACAAGTAATTGTTATGAAATTAAATTTCTCTACTATGAAAGCATTCCATATCAAATACACTTCAAAATACTGGTGTTTTTTTGGTATGATATCTTGGATTAACGCTGAAGCCCAACAAGGATCAATTTAAAGCTTTTTACACACTGGAAGATGGTTTAATCTCTAAAAATATATCATACTTACTGAGCTGATAAAAGGGTTTGAATTTAAGATGACGACTTACAGATTAAAACAATAAAAAAAATAAACAAAACAATATCAGCACCAGACACCACTACTAGTCCACTTGTAAGGCTCCATTAAATGCAAATTTGAACGCTATTTATGCTTAATGATTCTGTAATTAGAGCATTTAAATGTCAGCCAAAGAGTAGGGATTGGGTTAAATAAAGAAATAACAACCATGTCTTTTAAATAGAACTGTTTTAAATAGAATTAATCTTCCCCAAGGTAATAAATACCCGTTTTCATAATCAAATCAACATTGGCTGACACCATGTTAACACTTAAAGCATCAAACGCATATACATATATCTACAGTTTCCTGGCCTATACAATGGTGACTCTATCAGGGTGATGGCACGTCGAACTCCATTGAAAAGCCAGCTAGTTTAATGTCCTTCTGCTTATTGCAACACTTAACAGCGCTATAGAGAAGTCTTTGGTACATTTAGCGAGTCTCCCCAAGTTACTACTTAAAGTGTCGTTCACTATGCATACCAACAGTTATTTATTTTAGAAACAATTCAACTTTCACGCCGTCTTATTCTCAGCAAGAAACGTGAACGGACGCGTTAATTTGAGATTTTTCTGGAACTAGCTAGCAGGCTAGCATTAACCAATGTGTCGACTATACCAGAGAAAGACCGTTACCATGTGTTTAGATGTTATAAACGCGTTGTTATGCTACGTTTAACAAAAGCTTACACAAAACATTCAACTGTTATTATATAGACGGGAGCCTCCAATGTGCCTGTCCTAAAGAAACAACCGCTTCGAGACCGGAGTCAGCCCTGGAAACTGCCGCTGAGCATTACGTGACGAACACAAGCGTTTAGCTAACGATAAAGGCATACACTTACAGGGTTTTGGGCTGGTCATCGTCCATTCTGTTTCAGTTGCTGGCCGAAAACAAGTCGCAACCCCGAGTGCAAATCCACGACTGTCGCGGGCAGCTGCCGGTGACACTGTCAAGTTATTTTATTGCGAACTGGTTTATCGCCGTTGTTAGCTCAAGAGTGAACAATGGGCAGCCGACAAAGATGGCGGAGCAACTGGAGGCCGACGCGAGTCCCGCATGCGCAGTAGTTCAGTCCAAAGGCAACTTCTAGACAGGTTACAAAATAAACACAAGTGTAAATTAGATGACAAAACGCGCATAATTATTACACGAAAACATGTAAAAGCACGTGTAAATGTTTCTTTTCTTCTATAATATATGCATTACAAGTAGATCTCTAATCAATAAAATATGTAAAAACCTGTGCGACTTTTAATAACTTCATTCAATCCCGCTGTTTTTTATATTCTCTTTTGTGTAAAGTAACTACACTTTGGGAAACGTGTATCTGAGAATGTATATTTAAGTTTTGGATTTCTCCTCTTTTCTACATTTGAGAGGCAAATATTAGGACATGCAATATATTACAATTTAAATTATGTATACACAGATAGATAAAGCTGATGAGCCATACTACAAACAAATGGGAAGAAGTTGTTTAAGCTAGGTTAAGAAAAGAGGTGACAATCAGTGAGCAGCAGTGGGGTATAGAGGGTGGCAGAGGGTGGTGCAGGACATGCGAGGACAATGAGACAGTGGTGAGGTGTGCAGTATGAATGACAGATGGGTTTCCGGTGGGAAGGGAAGAGTTACATCAGGGCTCGCCTCTGACTCCCCTCTTGTTTGCAGTGGTGATGGACAAGTTCACAGATGGGGTTTGGTAGGACTTGGCATGGACTATGATGTTTGCAGAGGACGCTGAACTGTAGTGAGAGTAGAGAGCATGTGGAAGATAACCTAGAGAGGTGGAGGTATGCCCTGGAGAGAAAAGTAATGAATAAAGAGAAGAACAGCCAGACTGCTTTGAGCTGATTAGAGGATAGCAGTAAACCAAATAACCAGAGTACAAGCAAGATATGCAGAAGAGCGTCTCTGAATTCACAACATGTTGAACCATGAAGCACATGGGATATCTGCTGCGACATTCAGATAGTAGGACCAGAATTTGGTGTAAACAAAAGAAAAATTCTACACATATTCCTAAAATGAGATTTGTTTTCCATTTTATTGATAGTTTGTGGCATTGAAAAACTGCAATACTTAAACAGCTTTTTGTAACATCCAACAAACATTATTGGCAAGCCTCCAAACACCATTTATAAAGCTATACATTTATACAGTATAGTGCAAGTTTCAGTTGTCACTCTTCTTACCAGTGTGTTATTTGTCTTTGGTAGGTTTTGTGTTGCTTTCTGTTTATTTTATTATTTTTTGTGGAAATTGAAATTTTGCTTATTAAAAATATCAGTGGAATCAGTCCTTCCACATGTGACCTGCTGTATAGCCACGTGAATCCAATCACAACAGAACCACCACACGTTTCTAAAAAATTCAAGCTATTCTGATGTAAACAAAGTAAGAAACCTAATTTATTCTTAACTCTGATGCTTCAAGTACAACATTTATTTGTCAGTAATTTACTTACAATTAATGACAAATACATAAATTATATTTATCAGCATATACAAGTGTTTTTACAAAAAAACAAAAAGGAAAAAAGTCCCCTTATGTCTCATCGTTTCCATCCTTGTACTCTGATCGCACAGTCCGACACAGTGCAAACAGCAGGAGAAGCAGAGCTGACAGGGCCTGTCCTCTCTGCTCTGACATGCCCTCATCTGGGGCAGATGCTGTGGTCACTGAGGAGTTTCTCCATCCTCTTTATCTTGCGCTTGTTCTTTGGCATGGGCTTGTCGTACATGCCGTTCTTCAGCAGATGTTCCTTACTATGATGGATCTGAGCGCCGTGCTGAAGCTGGAAGGAGCAGAGTGCTTTCAGGGGCTTGAGCAGAACCTGCACACGCACAGATGGGAATGGAAGGAGAACGCGATAAAGAACACCATGCTCTGTGTTTTGACATGATTCATGATAATGAACCTACAAAGAATTACTGCCCAGCTTCTCACGCACTCTTATCTCCAAGCTTCATTTTACCATCCTTTTACCCTTTTCATTTAGGGTACTGCGCTGCAGTGGTTTGTATCATATCTATCTAATAGACTCCAGTTTGTGCATGTAAATGGAGAGTCCTCTTCACACACTGAGGTTAATTATGGAGTTCCACAGGGTTCAGTGCTAGGACCAATTCTGTTTACATTATACATGCTTCCCTTAGGCAGTATCATTAGAAGACATAGCATACATTTTCACTGCTATGCTGATGACACCCAGCTCTATCTGTCCATGAAGCCAGATGACACACACCAATTAGTTAAACTGCAGGAATGTCTTAAAGACATAAAGACCTGGATGGCCGCTAACTTTCTGCTTCTTAATTCAGATAAAACTGAGCTTATTGTACTCGGCCCTGAAAATCTTAGAAATATGGTATCTAACCAGATTCTTACTCTGGATGGCATTACCTTGGCCTCCAGTAACGCTGTGAGGAACCTTGGAGTCATTTTTGACCAGGACATGTCCTTCAACGCACATATTAAACAAATATGTAAGACTGCTTTCTTCCATTTGCGCAACATCTCTAAAATTAGAAATATCCTGTCTCAGAGTGACGCTGAAAAACTAGTTCATGCATTTATTACTTCCAGGCTGGACTACTGTAATTCATTATTATCAGGATGTCCTAAGAACTCCCTGAAAAGCCTTCAGTTAATCCAAAATGCTGCAGCAAGAGTCCTGACAGGGACTAGAAAGAGAGAGCAGATTTCTCCTGTTTTGGCTTCCCTTCATTGGCTTCCTGTTAAATCCAGAATTAAATTCAAAATCCTGCTCCTCACATACAAGGTCTTAAATAATCAGGCCCCCTTAATGACCTTGTAGTATCATATCACCCTATTAGAGCACTTCGCTCTTGCTCTGCAGGCCTACTTGTTGTTCCTAGAGTATTTAAAAGTAGAATGGGAGGGAGAGCCTTCAGTTTTCAGGCCCCTCTTCTGTGGAACCAGCTTCCAGTTTGGATTCAGGAGACAGACACTATCTCTACTTTTAAGATTAGGCTTAAAACTTTCCTTTTTGCTAAAGCATATAGTTAAGAGCTGGACCAGGTGACCCTGAATCCTCCCTTAGTTATGCTGCAATAGACGTAGGCTGCTGGGGTTTCCCATGATGCATTGAGTTTTTCCTTTCCAGTCACCTTTCTCACTCACTATGTATTAATAGACCTCTCTGCATTGAATCATATCTGTTATTAACCTCTGTCTCTCTTCCACAGCATGTCTTTATCCTGTTTTCCTTCTCTCACCCCAACCGGTCACAGCAGATGGCCGCCCCTCCCTGAGCCTGGTTCTGCCGGAGGTTTCTTCCTGTTAAAAGGGAGTTTTTCCTTCCCACTGTCGCCAAAGTGCTTGCTCATAGGGGGTCATATGATTGTTGGGTTTTTCTCTGTATCTATGAAGTGCCTTGAGGCGACTTTTGTTGTGATTTGGCGCTATATAAATAAAATTGAATTGAATTGAAAATTGAATTTAGCCTACCCACTCATCACCCTTGTTTTAAGAAGGCAGCAGCAAAAAACTCATTTTATTCTAAAGAGCGGAAATGTCCATTTAGCAATGATCTGCTGAACAGAGTCAAGCATTTAGCATTAAAATCTAGATATTTATCTCAGCAGTTGGTAGAGACTAAACACAGAGTTAAAAGTAATGCAAATATTAGATGTAAAAATAATTACGATTCTGTATACTACAGATTTTAAATATTTATTACTGTTATTATTATTATTACTGTTTTGGTATTTTACCTCTTGGATCTCATCATTCCGCTCCAGGATCGACAGAGCGACAGCGGCACATTCCAGAGTAGACAGACAGATGTTGGAAGGTTGTGTGCGGATCACGTATTGACTTGATAAAGTCCTATTGAGCTGCACCTGGTAAACCAAAGCAGAAGTGATCAGTAATCACAATGTTGATGTATGAAAAGCAATGAATTTTATGAAAGCTGTAATTCTTAAGGAATGCACCACACTGGCAGTTTTTCATTTAGGGCTTTCAGCGTTCATCTCTGACAGGTGTGAAGTTTCAAAGTTATGGTTTGTCCATAAACACGTGATCAGAGCTGGAACATCTTCTAATGTTGGTTGTCAACATTACACACATTCAACTTAGAGGCGGACTGACACAGAATTTATGACACAGATTTATCTGATAGCAGATATATGAGCTAATTTTTCCCCCCTTTCGGACTTCTGTGTTTCATTTACTTGTTTACGTTTTCCCTCACTCTACCTGGATCAACTGATTTGTGTGTTTGTGGCGTTGTATTGACTAATCACGTTTGTGCACACCTGCATGTTATAGTTCTGTGTCAGTTGGACACACAAATCCAAATTTTCCACCCAATTCAGGCTTTAAGACCCTAGAAAGAAAAAAGGCTTAGCAACTGAGAGAACAGAGTTTATATTCTCTACAACGTCCTTTAATATGCGCACCTGCTTGGGCAGGTGGAAAAGGCTGTTTTTGAGGAACATGTTTTTGGCTTGGCTCCAGGTGCCGTCTATGATGATGACATTATATTTCGCAGTGCCCACTTCTTGGTATTGCACCAACTCCTCAAGGTTCTCCGATTTAGGTCCTGGGTACAGAATCAGCGTTCTGCTGTCCCGGCACACCGCAGCCAGCTCCGGGTGCCTGCACAGAAAATAAATGAAGGCAGAAAATAAAAATTTAAATATAACACATACCGGTATTTAACTACGCTCAATTAACGCATACTTACTTTTCCTCATTAAATCTCCTTCCAACTATGACATTGCATTTTCCTTGTGGCAAGCAAGCAGCAAGTAGAGGAACTGTGCGGAGTACTCGGCTCTCCTGCAAGAGATCGAAACCTTTAGTCTCTCATGTTAACCTTTTATAAAATGTGTGTTCATTACTGTCATGAAAGCCACGCATTATAGAGTCCACTGTCAGGAGCAAGACAGTAATCTGATTCCAAAGCATTCAAACACACCCGATGGCGATGTCAGGGTGATACACTGAGAAATGAGACACTGATGTTCTTCTTATTCATCCACTAACTCTCAACACAATATCAGTCTTGGTCTGGTGCAGATGTACATGTATGCATCTTTCTGGATATGGGTCAATATCAAAACTTGCCTTTAATGGAAATAAGTCAGCAAAACATGCGTGGAAATGGTGCGATGTAGAAATTGTTCTTTCAGATAGTTTGATTAATAAAATAAGCTATGGTTGTATCAGCTGATACAGGCATCAATGTATATGTTTGCCATTATTATTATTATTATTTATTTTACAGGAAACAGTTTTTCCAGCAGAGTGGACATCTGTACCATCATGCAGGATTTTAGATTAGCGAGGTAACTTAACTGGGAATTTTCCGTTTTAGTGCAAAGAACAACTAATGTCACTGTTTGTTTTGATAGTAAGATTATTATAGTCCATAATGTTTGTCTCTACAATTAATACTTTTGGGTGTTTATTTTGCTTAAATATTCATCAGCATTTTTAAATCAAATCAATCTTAAACAGTTACAGTCATCTTAGTGTAAAATTCCCTCTCTCTTTGTTACTTTATCAGCTTTTCTGCTGATTCAATTAAACCCATGTCCTATAATATATTATTGTATATAGCATTTGTATTCTATTTTATACGATTGTATATAGTATTTTATTTTTAATTTATTTTATTTTACTCTATTGTGTACTGTATCTCATAGATATATTATTCCAGTGTTTTTTCTCTAATTTTTCTATGTAACTTTGCACTGTCCACTGCTGTAACAAAACAAATTTCCCCACACGTAGAACTAATAAAGGTTATCTTATCTTATAATAGTTTATTACTTATATCCTATTTTTGTCAGCCAGGTCTCAAAGTGAAACTCATGCAAGATCAACTTGCTAGGCAAAAAATAACCCATAGAGGCTCAAATCAATGTGCAATACATGCATACAACAATACTGCTAACACTACCACACAACATAAAGTTTAATCTAACAGATTTTTATAAACAATAACAGTGACTTTTGGAGGCTTTTGAAAGACATAGATGTATTTTTTGAAGCTTCACAAACGCTACATTTAAACAGATCAAGGACTCTGGGTCTTAAAACATGACTTTTTACTCACCTCTGCAGGATGCTGCACTACGTACAGACATGTGGAGACCTCCAGAGGTTGTGGTGGAAGAAAAGGACATAGACACACCTTCTGAGGGCGACTACATGGGAGGAAAGTTGAAGACGTGAGGCTGTGTTTTCCCAGTTACTTCCCAGCCTATAGCCCCCATCTGTGTGTGTTTCAGCTGGTCTTGAGCTTTCTGTAACGACACGGATCTGTTCCCTCATTAAAGCATGCCAGCTACGCGAGGAGACGGGAACATTCATACGCCGCCTGGATCAACCAACTCGGCTAACTACTAGCATGAGCTGCTCTTTAATTCAACTCACCGGCAACGGAAACATGTCGGTCTTCTCTCGCCAGCCTCCACCGGAAGGGCAGCCAGATCCCCAAAAGCGTCAACCAACCCGTCCTCCATCGAGGAGCCGTCGCACATTTCTGGGGCGTTTTGTATCTCTTGAGTGACGGCGGGACACAGACTGGGAGCGCAGTCCATTGTGGAGTTAGCAACAAGCTAACCTGTGCGAGTACCCAAACACTGCGCCGTCTTCTGGTGTAGAAGTAGACCGACTAGAGAGAGAAGGCACACGGCGGCGTAATTAAAAGTGTTTCGTAGAGTTCACAGTGCGTGCGCTTTATATTTCGGGTATATACCTCGCCTCTACAATGGATGAAAAGAGATGAGTACACAATGCACATAACTGCTGGTGGTAGGAAATGTTTATTACAGGAGAGTCCGAGGCTGAATTCGTTTATACAAAGTGTTTCTCTTCTTTTTCTTTTCCTCCCATCTCCTTTGGTATGCGTCTATCGCGTAGTATGTTATATACATTTAGAGTTGGATGGCTAAAATAACTTGTTTCATAATCATAACAGACACCTTTTCTGGCTACGCTTACCTCGTTAGTAAGGTAAGAGTAATGATCTATGGGGCGACTTCACTTGTTGCTACTGCAAGGTTAACCTGTAAAAAGACTAAAGCTAGATCGATATTATTAACCAGTATTAGCCATTATCACAGGTATATATGATATTAGCCCAGATGATTTCCCGTATATGCTAACAGAAATTAACACAGAACTTTTTGACATCCGGGGTCTCAATACAGATACAGATACTAAAATTAAGACTAGTTCCTTATTTTGTCACATCTATTTTTTTTTTTCATATCCAAGATCAGTGGTGCAAAGTGAGCTTCACAATAAGCTGTTAACTATTTAGTTTGGAAGTTGTGTGTGACTAAATAATAACCCCATCATTTCCCCCTTTCTCATAAGATTCAAATATACTCTCAATATGTGTATGTATGCATATAATCCAGACTGCTTTCATGCATCATTGGTAAAAACGCCAATCATGTCAGAAACAGAATACTTTTATAATCTCTAAGGACAATATATATATACTGGTATGTAAATCGGTATATATTCAGTTTGCCATCATATGCAACAAAGAAAAATAATATATTATTGGTTTGAAGAGCTAAAAAAATAGCAGCTATTTAAACTTTCATTGTCGAAATTGTGTTTCATTACAATTTTTGCTGTCCTTCTCAGGATGATTACAGATGTTCATAATCAGTTCATAGGCATAAATATAACAGCAATCATTTTGTTATACTCGTCGTTGTTTTGTTTTTCATTTTCAGTCAGTTAGCTGTTTGCTGTTCAAAAACTCAAGTTACCAACATGCACTGACACATCCGTTCTATTTATTGTATTTCTGCGACACAGTTGCTTGTAAGTTGTTAGTACTTCATTAACTCAGGGCTGCCACCTGTCGGTGTGGAGGAAAAGGGTTATTTTAAAAAATACGCTGGGTGTCGCCAAAGGCTATTTAATGTAAAAGTAAGGCCGCTTTAATATACTTGAAAACACAGCTTTTGCCCCACGGAAGCAAAATAGTTATGTACACTTAGTTGCGTATGCATTTTATTCACACATCGTTTGTCCATTTGAAAATGGATATCTGTGAGTTTGTTTATAGTTTGACTTTGAAGGTCAGTCAACACAGGGTCACAGCTGAGGCTTCAGATGGCACCTTGGATTCAGACGTAAAGCAACTACTGTACAGTGTATCTGCAAGCAATGCAAACATGCAGAATACTGTACACCACAGTGCAAAAATTAAAAAAAAAACAACCCCAAAAAGTTTCTCTATGTGCATACATTGGGGAATATTTTGTTCATTTTGAGACAGCTGTGCTAAAGCAGACTAAAACGAGCTACGTTTGGTTAAGTTGGAGATATCTCTTCGATGATGCAGGAGAAATATACGTAACTTTTATAAATGCCTTTGAACATTTTTATGATAATTTTTTTTAAAAGCATTTGCAAAATTTTATAACATTTGATGAAGATCTTTAATTACAGATTATTTTGACAGGGTGCAAAACATCACACCCCATTTGGCTTAGCGACGGATGCACATTGTCAAGAAGTTTCACGTTCCAAGCACATCTGTGATTAAACAAAGATTTGCAGGGTGGATAATTTGTCAGGAATAACTACAGGTAAATAGGCTCATCTGCACGGATCACAGACTCTGTCTTGGATGTTTACAAGCGGTTGTGCGGAACACAGGCTCCCAGTTTAGATAAGGTGTCGAGTTAATGGCCAGAAGGGCTTATTTATAGCTGAAGATGCACCCTGACACCGTACAGACACCGACACATGCACGTTTATCCTTTTTATTTGCACATGTGAACCACTCTCATCAATCATGCTATGACTCATGCGCTATTGGCAGACAGTTTGGCTTCACCTGCAGAGACAAAGGATATATGATCAATCTGAAGGCAAAGGTTTTAGATAAGACTTTGATTATATATGCAAATCTGAGCTTTAAGAATTTATCTTAATTTAATGCACTTTACATTTACTGACATTTTAAGCCCAAATATGGATATTGATCTGTTACAGCACTTAATACCAAGTTTATTGAAAAAGACTGTAGCGCACTAAAATATTACACACTGTCCTTTGTTTTTGGCTTGCTCAGTTGGAAAAACTGTCGAACTATCTTCTTGTTTCTCAGCATTATTCTCTGTTGGATCTGTTTCTGATGACTTAACATCTGTCTCTAGTTCAGTTTGTTTTGTAACTGTTTCAGTCTGGCTTCTTTCTCCTTCTTCTGGTTTGGGGTTTTCTCCTTCAGTTGGCTTTCCATCTCTCTCATCTCTGGTGGTCACTTCATTCCCGTCCTGTACGCTTTCAGCTTCTGTTTTGGCCACAGCCAACGCATTCTCTTCTCCATCTCCGTCGCCTTCATCAGCAGTCTCTGCCGGCGATGCCGTCTCTTTCTCCTCCTCTCTTTGCTCCTTCCCTCCAGCCTCTTCGTTTTCCTGCACAATTGGAGTCAGAGGCGTTAGATCTAGACACGTCTTAGGAGGGGATGCTACTTTTCTCCTAGGAGGAGCGACTGGCTTGTCCATTTCTGAATCTTTTTTCCACAAATCCCGAACACAGACATTGCTCTCTTCCAAGGCTGCGGGATGATCATCTATACTTGTCCAATCTGCTTCCTCTGAGGGAAACTCAAAGCAAGAGATGCTAAGTTCATCGACTGGGATTTCTGTTGGTTTTTCAACTGTTATAGACACACTCCTTACTGTCTTGGATTTACTCTTTTTTGCTGTTTGTGTGTCGTCTTCTTCCAGAAGTCGAGGGAAAGGCTCTATGTCGCACGGAGAAGAATTGGCGCTGGACCTGAAGAAGTCTGTAATATCCTCCTCTGAGTTAGGCACCTCTCCTTTTTCAGGTTTGGTCACAAAAACATCAAGATCATACAAATCCTCGGACATTATCCGAGGTCCTTCCTCTGGGCATTTTTCTTTATCTGTTGGTTCCCCCTCCACAACAGGAGTCTCATCTATCAGGACATATTTCTCTAAATATCCCCTGGCCTCTCGGTCTGAATGCCTGCTGTGGAAGGACTTCTCCGAGGTCACACTTTCAGTGTCTTCTTCTTTTTTCCGGCTGCCGAGTGCTTCCTCGTAAAGGTCTGTATAAAGAAAGGCCATGGCTTTGGGTTCCTCCAGCAAAATGGGATCAATAATTTTCGGAGGCCCTTCGGGTAGAAAGATTGGTGTGAGGACATCTTCTTGGCTTCCAAACAAATTCGAACCACTCTGTTTTGAGGGAAGCCTAGATAGTGCACTTTCTGCTGCTCCACCTCCATCTGTTGCCCCTGGACCTTTCAGAAAGTATTCGTCTGTACCGCCATAAAAGACTTCATCTAAAAGCTCGTTAGCAAGTTCCACCAGACTGATTGTGTCTGACTTGTCAACATCTGCACCTTTGGTGCTGGTGCTTTCTTTAGTCTGTGCATGTTTCTCAGTGTACTGACTCTCAGTAGCAGTCTTTGCCTCTGGTTCCACCTGTCCTCCTGCAGCCACAGCAGGACCTCCTGGAGCTTGAGCATCAATCAGGGCGAATGCCTCAAAGTAGTCCACATTTCCTGCTGCTGCTCTGCTTTGCATTCTGGCCACGGGAGCTCCTGGTGGATCCATGGAATCTAGATCCACAGGAGGGCGGGGGCTGGCTTGGTAATCTATTGTTGGGCCCGTTTCTACTGAGATCAGCAGCTCATTTTCATGGATCTCCTCACTAGCTTTAGGAACAACACTTTCCTCCAGGTATGAAAGATTGTCCACCATTTCTTTGCTGACTTCTTCATCCACGGTGGCCAGTTTTTGGGGAACAACAATGTTGAGGATTTCAGAGCCTTCTGACACTAAGCTGAACAGCTGCTGCTCTTTGTCTTCCTGAGGATCAGTTGTTTCCTCTTGGTCTCCTTCTCCGTCACTTTTCAAATTTGGTTGAGAGACTTCCACTAACTCTGGCCGCCCTGAGATGTTCTCAGAGCTTTCTGCCAGGACTTCTCGCTTTCTATCTGCTTTGCTTTTCGGCCCACTTGCCCTCTCCTTGGTTGTCTTCCTTCTTGAGATAAGCTCCTCATCCATGACAAAAATGATTTTGCCTGCTGGATGAGACCCAGGTGTTGCAGGCTGTATTGCACTGAGATCCACAGAGGGGAGTCCAGCTTCAGACATCCATGGTGTGGTGCAGCGACTGGGGGTCGTCTCCCATGCGATTCCGCTGTCCTCCCCTTGCATAGTTACCATGGAGAAGGAGGAGTCCATCATTAGGCACTGCATCTTAGGCCGGACATTATCATCGTGGACAGCCTCGCGTAAGCTGAAGGCACAGTAGCGCACAAATATTGGGAGGTTAAGGGAAAACTATACAAAATATGTCCTAATAACTTCTAAGTTGTGCAGGTGTTCTTTTGCTTTAATACTTTTTGCACTGCGCCTAAAGCGAGAGAAAGAGTCTCAACTTATATTCACCAAAGTCTGAACTGCATAAAGCATCACATCTATCAACATTTGAAGATGCTTGTTGTGCTCCATGAGCATTTTTACGTCACACAAGTGTCATTAAGTAGGAAGAAAGAAAGAAATTTCACCCTGCAGAACTTCCCATTCTCCTTGACCAGTGCAAACATACGAACGTGTGGCATTTCCTCCATAAATTCAGCATATTTTATTACTGTAAAATAAATGTTTCACCACAGACTCTAATTCCTAAATGATCAAAAACTTTCTTCTGTGGTAAAAAACCAAAACAAAATTGCAAAACAAATCTCATTAAGATGAAACTTTAACCTCCAGCATAAAGAGCACCTGTTTTGAAGGGTCTCCACTTCATCAGTAACATCAAGGTTTTGTTCTGTAATATCTTCAGATGTCAACACAGTCATCTCAGGGTCAACATCTGACTGTGCAAAATCCTCCATTGCTGTAGCCATTGTTAGCAGTATGGATCTGCTTCAGCCTCTCAACACGACTCGATGCTGCTCTGCTGATCACATACGAAGCGAGCGAGCGTGCTCGAGTCGGGTTTTCATGCTCAGCATAATCTTGAAATAGAAAACTTGCCTTCCACTGTTTCATCTGAAACATTTGCAGCATGCAGGGAGAGTAATTCGTCTCCTGTTCACAATGGTTGAACTCTTGAAATCACTACATACAGATAACAAGTTAATCTGGGTTAAGCAGTTGCAAATAATCTGAACTGTGAAAATGCAGGAACATTAAGGCAGTGTCTCTGTCTTATTTATTTTTGCCAGGTCTAATAATAATTTTTTCTTGGCATCATGTATCTGATATCATTAGTCTCTCTGTAAGTGAGTTAGAGGTAAGATTGTTAAAAATCTTTAAGCTGTTTTTTTTTTCATGTGCAACAAATCACATGTCAATGAAAAATAGTAAAAACCAAAATTGTGATTAAAAAGTTAGACTTGTCATGCTTTTCTGTCCCACTAGTGAGCATTTTTTGTGGTAACTGGCCAAATAAGTTTTTAAAATCTGCCTTTCTTTCATTTTGATTGAGCCACCTGCTCGTGTCTGTCACACAGAGTGTCAGAGATGCTATGTGGGAAATGAAAGCGTGAAGGAGTTGGGGAGGGTTTAGTCAACATGTTCTATCTGGGTAAAAGTTCCCCAGTGTAAACTAGTCTGACATACCCTGTGCATCATAAAACTTTCCAGTGGGCATGCCAAACTGTGAATTTAATATTATATAAATTTTGAGGCAGTAATCACACACAACAAGACCGGGAAGAAGCAAAACTGAAAAGTCCAAGAATATAAATTAATCAATAAACACAAAACACTGGGCCAGTAATTTGACATTTATGTTAGGCTGCTGAAAGGTGTCTCTATAAGCGATTGCACCATAGGTTATACTTAGTTTGTTACAGGTCCTGTAGGAAAAAATGATAAAAGAAACTTTATCTCTAAGATCCAGAGAAGAAAACTCCCGTTATTTTAAAACATATATCATTAATGTCATGAATGCATATCATACTGAAATGCTGATTGTGCCTTCAACCCCATCACCATTTTCAACCCCCATAATGCAAAGTTAAGCCCTATTACCGATGTTAATGAAAGTTCTCTTGGCATGCTCTGGCAATGAAACAGAGTATTTTTGAGTGAAAATTACGTGTTTCATAAGTGATCTTTAGCCATGGGACATTTCATCATTACATACTCACCAGAATTTACTACTACTTATCATGATTCTTGGGGTTTTCGCTATTTCCTCTGTATTATTTTAAGGTCTTTACCTTACAATATAAAGGACTTGAGACAACTGTAATTGGGATTTGGTGCTATATAAATAAAACTGAACTGAACTTCAGCATGATTTCAAATCATGATCACAATGATCATATGATAATTTTGTCTGTGACAGGGTTGAAATCCAAATGGATTTAGTGAGATTTAAATGCCTAATAATGACTTTGTGCCTAAAATATGATCAAAGTAAAAAAAATGTGTTTTTTATACAAAAATATATTTTCTTTATTGTTACTGATATAATATAATAATACTCAGATGTTCTGAGTACCATTGCGTTATTGTTATTGTCCTCTTTTATTTACGTCAGTTTATTTTACCCTCTACCGGATGTGAGGACATACATACTGCCAATAACGTCAAAACTGCAGGCGTTAACGTAGCGTGATGACGTCGTTGGTTAATGCTTCCCTCTGAGCAGAGGCGGCGGATGGAGCGGAGCTGATGAATGAGATGAGGGGCTAACAGAGGGCAGACGGGCTGATGATGAGAGAGGATGAACCAGCAGCTGAAGGAGCATCAGTCCTATTCTCCCACCATCTCAGATCCAGTTTACGCGAAACAACGCAAACAAAATAAGACGGAGAAATCTGCTCGTTTGTGAATGAAGGAAAATTTTGTGGCGAACATCGACGTCGGTGAAGCTGTTTTGATTTTTTTTTTCCTCTTGGAGGAGGGCAGGACGTGATGATAAAACCCGGAGTGTACTCCAAGGGCTTTTTTGTGTTCTCTCCAAAAGCAGCGGAGATGAAGCCCCGTCTGGAAAGAAGATGTCTGTCACCACAGAGCGGCGTTAAATGTCTCACTTGCGGCGGTAAAACTCTTTAATATTTCTCCGATTTGAGGATTTTAATGGCACAGAGGACTTCAATCAAGAGCCAGCGACTTAAAGAGGGATTTATGAGTGTCGGAATTGAGGGGTGAATGTTAATTTTTTTATCCCAACGTCTGCCATCCCTATTCAGATTATACACCAGCCAACGGAGCATTTATAGCCAGCTAACGTCACATTTAGAGACTATAGGCAGTTTTATTTGCTAAAACACGTTAACATTTTTTCCCCTTCGATAATTTCACTCTGAATTTAAAAGCGCAACACGATCCCTTCGAGTCTAATGTGGTTATAAATCACACCATCCGTCTGCTGTCAGTTTTTTTTCTCCTTCTTTTTTTAATAGCCCGAGTTGAGCTCCATAATCCTGCATTACTGTGGAGTTTGGTTGTGGGTTTTTTAGCTAACGGCGGCGGCTACTAGAGCCAGAGCAGCGCGCGCGCGTGTTGTCAGTCATCATGCGTGCACCGACACGTTCGCACGGATGAAACCACCACCTAAGCCAAAAATATGATGCACCCAGAGGGCACAACAACACGCCGAGCCATGTCGGACTGAGAACAGTGAGAGTGGGGCTTCGCCGGGCTGTGAGCTCACACAAACAAGCAGAGAGCGGCTTTCAATTGAGAGGGAGAGCGGATAAAAAACAAAACAAAAACAAAGCTGCAGCTAGCCTCTCCGCACAGCTCTCAGGAGACCGCTGAGAGGATCATTTTCGACTCAACTTAGAGACCAGAATCCAGCTATAATGGGGTATGTAAAGTGGTGGTTCAGTGGAAGTTGTATTTCTCACTCCCCATGTCATGAGTGTGGCACACTTTGTTGTTGCAGATTTCAACACCCACAGCTGCCAGTCTGCTAGCTAACCCCCCTTGTCCTCTTAAATACAAAAAAATTACTGTAAACCACTATCCCATCATTATGTTCACCTAAAGCCTCCATACGCTGACATTTCAGCTTACAGAAGCCAATAAGGATGAGGCTGCGATGAAGTAAGCTACTGATGATAGGGAGAGCATATTTAATGTTTTGCCATGAGTAAATGTAGAAGGGGGGGCTCCATCACCACAGCTCCATTGTGGTGCTTACATGTGGCCGAGCCTGCAGATGTGTGGTGATTCTCCTGATCAAAAGAGACCTAGTTCCCACTCCAGATGATGTAGAATGTGATTGGTTTGTTGTCATATTGTAGTTGGGAAGGAGGAGAAGGGGATTGGTGAATGGCTTGCCTCCTCATCCTCTGTAATTCTCAAGGCCACTGGTTGTAATCCAGTCAACAATCAATTTCTGAGTTGGTCAAAAGAGAGTATGTCCTACAGTATGTGTTTACACTGTCTCAATTAGCAATTCTCCCTGTTCCTGTCCTCTTTGTGCAGTTGTTGATCTTAAAAAGGCTTAAAAACGTCATCAGTTCAAATGTCACTGGCATGTTTTTGTTTTTTCAGTGGAAACTGAAACATATCTGAAGTTGCAGCAGTGACACACCCCTACCACTGGAATTCAGTTAGGACTTTGTAGTAAACAACAGCAAGCATAGTACATCCAGCAACAACACAATAAAATCCCTAAAATGACAATTACAAAGTTTTTATTTTTACTGGCTTAAAAATGGGTGCGCAGCTTCAGACAGTTATTCCCATACTGTTATTACAATGAGTCTGTGATATTGTAGAAGTCTGTGCAATTCATGTATTTTATCCTTATGCGGGTAACCTCTTTGATGTATGCCAATTGAATGCTTTTAAATTAAAAAAAAAATTACATACAGGGAGTGCAGAATTATTAGGCAAGTTGTATTTTTGAGGAATAATTTTATTATTGAACAACAACCATGTTCTCAATGAACCCAAAAAACTCATTAATATCAAAGCTGAATGTTTTTGGAAGTAGTTTTTAGTTTGTTTTTAGTTTTAGCTATTTTAGGGGGATATCTGTGTGTGCAGGTGACTATTACTGTGCATAATTATTAGGCAACTTAACAAAAAACAAATATATACCCATTTCAATTATTTATTTTTACCAGTGAAACCAATATAACATCTCCACATTCACAAATATACATTTCTGACATTCAAAAACAAAACAAAAACAAATCAGCGACCAATATAGCCACCTTTCTTTGCAAGGACACTCAAAAGCCTGCCATCCATGGATTCTGTCAGTGTTTTGATCTGTTCACCATCAACATTGCGTGCAGCAGCAACCACAGCCTCCCAGACACTGTTCAGAGAGGTGTACTGTTTTCCCTCCTTGTAAATCTCACATTTGATGATGGACCACAGGTTCTCAATGGGGTTCAGATCAGGTGAACAAGGAGGCCATGTCATTAGTTTTTCTTCTTTTATACCCTTTCTTGCCAGCCACGCTGTGGAGTACTTGGACGCGTGTGATGGAGCATTGTCCTGCATGAAAATCATGTTTTTCTTGAAGGATGCAGACTTCTTCCTGTACCACTGCTTGAAGAAGGTGTCTTCCAGAAACTGGCAGTAGGACTGGGAGTTGAGCTTGACTCCATCCTCAACCCGAAAAGGCCCCACAAGCTCATCTTTGATGATACCAGCCCAAACCAGTACTCCACCTCCACCTTGCTGGCGTCTGAGTCGGACTGGAGCTCTCTGCCCTTTACCAATCCAGCCACGGGCCCATCCATCTGGCCCATCAAGACTCACTCTCATTTCATCAGTCCATAAAACCTTAGAAAAATCAGTCTTGAGATATTTCTTGGCCCAGTCTTGACGTTTCAGCTTGTGTGTCTTGTTCAGTGGTGGTCGTCTTTCAGCCTTTCTTACCTTGGCCATGTCTCTGAGTATTGCACACCTTGTGCTTTTGGGCACTCCAGTGATGTTGCAGCTCTGAAATATGGCCAAACTGGTGGCAAGTGGCATCTTGGCAGCTGCACGCTTGACTTTTCTCAGTTCATGGGCAGTTATTTTGCGCCTTGGTTTTTCCACACGCTTCTTGCGACCCTGTTGACTATTTTGAATGAAACGCTTGATTGTTCGATGATCACGCTTCAGAAGCTTTGCAATTTTGAGACTGCTGCATCCCTCTGCAAGATATCTCACTATTTTTGACTTTTCTGAGCCTGTCAAGTCCTTCTTTTGACCCATTTTGCCAAAGGAAAGGACGTTGCCTAATAATTATGCACACCTGATATAGGGTGTTGATGTCATTAGACCACACCCCTTCTCATTACAGAGATGCACATCACCTAATATGCTTAATTGGTAGAAGGCTTTCGAGTCTATACAGCTTGGAGTAAGACAACATGCATGAAGAGGATGATGTGGACAAAATACTCATTTGCCTAATAATTCTGCACTCCCTGTATGTTGATATTTTTAAGCCTTCGTGCTGATAACAGCTGGAGCCTTTTGGGTGCACCTTTGTGCCTGCATCCATCTGTCCCATTCCTGTGTAAAGTCACTGCTATTTTCAGGTAGAATTAAAATGATAGTTCAGTAGACAGGCACGTGTTTTGATGAGCAATTAACCATCAAAGTGATTTATTTGAGCAATTTGTTAAAAAGCGCTTTTTCGGATAGGAATATTTGACAAGTTTATGGGAAGATTAGTGTGTCTGGGGAAAAACAAGACGTCGTATACAGAGCTACAGCAATAAATCGGCTGATATTTGCAAATTTTTTATGTAGATGGCTCTGTTGGTATATTTACCAGATGATAAGCAACAAGAAATAGGCAAAATTTAATGTTTATTTTTCACATTTATTCCTAATTTTTTTTTAAAGTGAAAGCAAATGGGTGTCTGAATCTTTTTAAATATTATTATAGCTCAGAATATTATGGGTCTTAAGCTGGCGCTGTGAGCTGTGGCTGATTAATGAAATGTTTTTGTATATAAATTGACATGTTCTCAGCTGCTGTTTTGTGATTTCAGTTGGGTTTCCTCAAGACAAGCCAGTCTTTCATAACTTCTTTCACCTCCTCTATGAGCTTGTGTTATTTTCAGTGTCAAAGAAGAGTCGTTACAGAAGGGCTCGGACTTTCTGAACTTCTTACATTCAGACAAAGAGAGCATCAGTGGAAAAAGCACAGGACTTCATTATTGTCATGAGAAATAGTTTGAAAGTGTCAGGCGAGCCGAGTGTCCCACGCTTGCTCTTTCTCTTTTGTCGGCTACTGAAAGACTAGAGGTCTGTGAGCGGCATATGGGCGTTTGGGACTGGAGGCTTCGCCTTGCCAGGCTCCTGCTGCCTCCCTCTGCGAGTGGGCTAACCCACAGGGATGCTGCGATCGGATTGGGCGAGAGAGCGTGTAGGAAGGAGAGGGAGCGACGGAGTTGGAGGATGTTCACAGCTCATGACCACATGGGCAGTTGCCATGACAACGTAACAGCTAAGTTAGTAATGCGGAGTTATTATTCCTGTGCATAGCAAACACGGGCTGCAGCTGTCATTGCTTTCACTCAGTGGAGTTTTGGCTTGTAGGCAGATTTGTTTTCAATATTCTTCTTGATATAGTCCTTCATATATAGTATAGACAGGATAGGTAAAAAATGATTTACGATTTATAAAGAAGAAATAAATGAATCTAACATAAAATTCGAGACTTAATAAAAATAAAAGAAATTTCAAAGTTCAGCGGGGGATCAAATAATTTTTCCACTGTATACATCTCTTATATCTGTGACCTGTGAGGCACAACTTTTACTCCGAAGACAAACCTCCAGTTTGTTTTTTCATGTTTCACGAAAGCTGAGAGAGTGTTAGCAGATAAGTCAAGACTTCAATGCTTGCTATGAGCAACCACAGCAGTCTGCTAATGACCAATGCAATTACAAAGAGGGCCTTCGTCCAGAGTCCTCTTTGCAACCGGTTTTATATAGCAGCAGCCAAATATAAACCAATCAGTTAGGAAATATGCATTTTTTTCCGCCTTTTGACCAGAGGACGGCAGGTAGTCGCAGATCAGACTCTAGTGCTGTGTGATCGAGGCCCAATGTGCCGATAGGCTGATATCAGCCAGCAAACCAAACATCAGCCAACACCTTTGTTTGGGTTGTTAGGACTTGGTAGTTTGTGATTACCCGAATTAGTGATAGTTGTTGTTTTTGACGGGAATGGGATTAATTTTCTTATTTAATAGTCTGTTGACTGTAAAAAAGAAAATAAAACTACCATGGTAGATACTATATCGATAAAACATAAGCACTAATAGGAGCTGGCCATGTTATGCACACTTTAGCAGCACTATTTTTTTCTTCACAAACCATGGCAGAGAGTAAATGTAAAGAAGTCTCCATCTAATGGATTAGTACTTAAAAAACAACGTCAATTCATGAAGAAAATGAAAAAACTAGACCTAAAACTGAATCTGTGGTTGTGCACCCTGTTCATTTACTACCGTCTGTTATCCCCACCTGTTCATTCATTTCCTGGCTGCGGGCGAAGGCGCTCTGCATCCGATTGCTTTTGTTTAGTTTCTTGCCAGTTTTATCAGTTTTAAAACCCAAATAATCCCAAACAGAGGATTAAATATTCTTTTTGCACAGCTGATTCTTGTGGACTTTTCCTTCTTACGCACATGCACACAGACACACAAACACACAGAGCATGCATGTGCACTCATTTGACTGGCTGCTCATAAAAACTTCACCCATCTGTAGTGGATTCCAAGCATTTTCTGATAATTATTTTAAGCCAGACTGGATTAATGAAATGCTAATATATAAATGGTTGCATGAAAATATACAAAATTTAAATGTTTTTTTTTAATAATGACTCTTTTGCACT